AGAATAATTCTTCCAACTTTAAAACGATTTCCATTATTCTGAAAGCAGTTAAAAAACAATTGAATATTAAGCTTTCCCGCTTCATCAGTTGAAGATGGTATTTTTGCCCATCCCCCCCTAAAAAAAAAACTTTAAAAGGCATAATTTGAATTACTGATTGATTTAGGCACTCGAACCAATTTAGTTGTGGATGATACCTACGAAGCCAGGCTTGGGCTTTCTGAAAACGAGAGAATTTCACTGCGATCCTTACATATCTCCGAGACCTTGAAGAGAAAATTAGAGGGAATTATCGTCACCCGCTTCAACCAGGAAAGAGATTGTGGGATTCCCCGAGCTCAGAAAGGGCGAAAAGGGAAAGCCAGCAAAAGGGAAAGCGGAAAAGCGCAGTCACGATGACTCGCGCCTTCCATCCACTTCCATCCACTTCCATCCACTTCCATCCACTTCCATCCACTTCCATCCACTTCCATCCACTTCCATCCAGTATTCCCATTTCCCCTGATCGATTCTGATCTTGCTTGAGGTCGATCTGTTAGTTGAAATCCAGTCATTCAAATCAAAATTGTGATTAACATTCTGCAACAGGTGCGACATGTGAAATGATGGTCATGTCCACGGAAAATGATGAAACGACTTTGGAGATTGAAACTTTCAAAGGTTCACTCAGATCGAAAAGGGCAAAACTCGGTCAAACATCTAACCGGAAGGTCAGAGAACCGCATCAATTCTTGCCACGTGGTATCTGCCAATAAATGGCGAATCTCGATTTGCACTCTCATCAGGCGGAGTGAATATACCTTTCCAAATGAGATTCTCGGGCCTTCCTGCAACGATGCAAGCCCGCAACCCCGGTGGGAGTTGGAGATGAGAGAGGACGAGGAGGAACTTACACTTTAATGCTGCTGCGTTGATGATGATGGTTCCCGTTCGAGCGGTGAAGGTGCTTCCAGGTGCTTCCAGGTGTCCCGCGACGCTGTGAGAATCGCGATGGAGAGGGAACTCGGTCCATCACTAGAGAGAATCAGGAAACAGAAGATCGCTGCTAGTTCTTCGATTCAGGTCTCACGCGTGCTGAATTTTATTTTATTTTTTTTTTTAACTCGGTGCCTATCGGACCCAACCAACTCCATTCATTTCCTCCTTCAGTCCCCGATTAAACCATAAATTTCACTAAATGCGAAACTGAGGTCTATCGCAAACCCTCGACGCCAGCCCGCTATCGTTAACGTAGACGGCAGAGTCATACCAAAATCTCCAGGGCAATCCGACGGAATCGAGCAGCTCGAGCACGACTTCCAGCACCGAAAGACATCCACGGATTCCGAAACTCTTCAGAATGAAAACACGAAGAAACCGAGAATCCACCAGAGCCACAAGCTCCATTGAAAATCCCGAAACCAATAGTGCCAACCAAGAGATCCAGACACAGCGCCCACTCAAACACGCACACACGCACACACGCGCATCCAGCAAGGAGCTCGCCCGTGAAAGCAAGAGACACGCGACCTTGGTGCCTCCCCACCCAGGCACTC